TTCAGACACTTGAGGATATGCTTCGCGCTTTAGTTGTTGACAGGGGTGCTAAGTGGGAGTCGTTGTTGCCGTACGCGGAGTTTGCGTATAACAACAGCTATCATTCTTCCATTCAGATGGCTCCTTACGAGGCACTTTACGGTCGCAAGTGTCGTTCCCCTCTTTATTGGGACGAAGTCGGAGAGCAACGAGTACTCGGTCCTAAGTTGATCGACGAGACAGCAGATCAGGTCGAGTTGATCCGGCAGAGACTCAAAACAGCTCAAAGTCGTCAGAAATCTTCAGCCGATCATCATCGACGAGATATTTAGTTCGAGGTTGGCGAGCCAGCTTTTCTCAGAGTTCGTCCGATTCATGGAGTTGTGCGATTCAGAAAAAGAGGAAAGCTGCACCCTCGATTTAGCGGTCCGTTCGAGGTTCTGGAGCGAGTAGGTGAGGTCGCGTATCGATTAGCCCTACCTCCCGAGTTATCAGGCATTCATAATGTATTCCACGCATCGATGTTGCGTAAGTACGTGTGCGACCCCGATCATGTTATTCCTCATCAGATATTCAGGTTCAGCCAGATATTTCGTACGAGGAGCGACCGGTAGCTGTACTAGACCGTCAGGTCCGTCGGCTCCGGAAGCGAGATGTTCCCCTCGTGCATATTCAGTGGGATCGCCACGGAGCTACTTGGGAGGCGGAGTCCGATATTCGCGCTCGTTTTCCAGATTTTCAGTTCTGATGTACATATTTTCTTATCCTATGTACATAGTTCATGTATATCAGCTATGTTTTGAATTTCCGAGGACGGGAATTTTGTAAGGAGGGAGGATTGTAATATCCCGTCAGTTTATCAGTATTAATTATGTTTTTAGTTCCGATATTAATTTTCGGAATTAATTATTTTCAGTCAGTTCAGTCGAAATTACCAAAAATTATTTTCAACGTACCGTTTACGTTCGGAATAATTTTGGTGATTAAGCATTATGTTTAATTAAAGATTAAACATTAAGGAGGTGATTAATAATTAATTAATCACGTAATTAATCCAAGGTTAAGTCCAAACCGTGTGGTATTGCTTCCAATTTATTAAATTGTCGTACATAAAGTTCATCCCAAGTGGAAATTTTTCTTCATTCTTAAGAATCTTAACGTGGCACTTTCCTAAGCTAATTAAGTGCTTAGTCATCTAAGAGTACTTAAGCTTAGTACAAGTGTCATTAAGGGAAAATGGCCACCAAGGTCTTGTGTTGCACCCTCTCGGCGCCATGGCTATATAAAGGAGGAATGTTTGGAAATTTTTCCAACTTTCTTTACATATATTAGTTAAGCATCAAAATTTGCTTTGATCATAACTTGAGTTCAAGTCCGTGTCTTAGCCATGTTCGTATTCGTCGTGCGTGAGGTCCGCGTAGGGCATGTCATGTTTAAAATTTATATTCTTCCAAACAATAATCATGAAGTCAGTATTTTCATGTTATGTCCTGTTATTTCAGCTTATGATGTTCGGAAAAATATCCATGTTTATGCGGTGTTTCGGCCGGAGGGATGTGGTCGCACATATATTGCGTACCACGGGCCGCACGCGTGTTGTTGCATGTTAAGTTCAATCCTTTGAGCACTTGTGTTTTTAGGTTCAGTAAGTTATGTTCATGTTCAGTTCAATATGATTTGCCGGGAAAAATTGAGGTTCGGTCGTGAAAGCGGCTTAACGTCGTCGGCGGCGCACGGTGTGTCCGCCGCGACCAAGTTCCGTTTATTGGGAAAAATTCATGTTTTCAGTTTAAATCTGTTCATGTGTTCATGTTATGCCATTTGAGGTCAGTATGTTCGGGTGTTTTTGCCGGACGGCCGGCAAGGGCCGGCCGTGGCCGC